GGATATAAGGCACCCTTCTATGAGCAATTATTGTAAAGTCAATGCAGCAGCCATGATTTTTTTTTTTTTTGCAAAGTCTGTGATGCAATTTATCTTTTTGTTCCCCACCACCACCACCACTTTCTACATTTCTGAGCATTATTGCATTGCTAAGGAGTCAATACGAATACAAAAATGCTTCGGAAAAAGTGGTAAATTACATTTTTATGACATGCCCAGAGTACAACCGCTTTGCTTCTAGGGTGAATTCAGGCTTGATTTGCTCTCAAACCCATTTGTTACGGTTTCCTTTAGCTATCCATAGTATCTATAGAGCTCTCCGCCAGCAATGTGTTTGAGTCCATTCTTTTCCTATTCATTTCTTGCACTATGCAGCTTCGACTTTCCCAGACCTTCAGTAATTTCAAGAGAGAAGTAGTAGGTCGATATGCAATCCAGCAGCAACACAAAAAAGGAGATCGAAAGTGGAGTAAATGGCATCAGGGAACAGTTCTTCGCAGCCCACTTTGGTGCTGCCCCATTTTAAACAAGTCAATTATCAACAGATTTTACTAACCTACATCCCAAAATATTGCATGGTCACATGATCAGGAAGGGACATGATCCTCAGACAATTCAAGGTGACGCCATCCGGAGCAAGGAAAGCTCTCAATGCCTTCCTTCCAACTCTTTAGGTTGGGTTCAAGTGTAGAAAAGCTCGTGGATTTCTAAATACCATAGCTCCATACTATGCGGTCCTGGGAGTTATAGTTTCCAAGTTCCATGCCCTTCTCTAGGTTCATCTACAATATGGAATGAATGCAGTTGGACTTTACTTTAAATGCCATGTCTCCATGAGATGGTCTTGGGAATTGCAGTTTCCAAAGGTCCATTAACCTTCTGTGGGTGCATCTACACTGTGAAATGAATGCAGCTGGACCTTACTTTGAATACCATCCCTCAATACTATGCAGTTCTGGGACTTATAGTTTTCCAAGGTCCACAACCTTTGCTGGATGCATTTACACTATGGAATGAATGCTCTTGGACCCCACTTTAAATACCATAGCTCCATACTATGAAGTGCTGGGAGTTATAGTTTTCCAAGGTCCACACCCTTCTCTGTGGGGCAGCCATGAGAGAGAGAGAGAGAGAGAGAGAGAGAGAGAGAGAGASAGAGGATCGCCACTTTCCCTCTCTCCCTCCCTACTTCCTTGCTTCCAGAATTGAAGACATGTAACAGTTGATATTCCAAAGAGATGAGGTTTTTCCCCCCACAAAGAACATGGGGGGGGGGGGAGATGGTGCGCAGTGCCTAGCGATTACAGTGTGATGGCAAATCTACTGAAAGAATGCTGAGTACAACTGAGTAACACTGATACATTTAACAGTGTGATGAAAGTAGGGAAATCATCCTTCTCATTTCAAATTGAGTAAGACCGAGCTCTACTCTACCAAACACTTCCCTGCTTCAATGTGATGAAGTCCTTAATGTGATAAACACAGTGGCTTATCGGATTTTAAGTGTAGAACTCAGTGGAATTTAGAAAATCCAAGGCTGCGTCTACACTGGAGTAGAAATGTGTTTTGATGCTACTTGAATTCAATGCGATGCAATCCTGGGAGATGTAGTTTGGGAAAACACTGGCACTCTTTGGCCAAAGACCTGCCAAAACGATGACTTTTCCATAGCATTGAGCCAGGACAGTTCAAGTGGTATGGAAGAGTAATAATTGCACCCCGAGAGCTGTGTTCAATGTAGCTTCATTGATTTGCTTAGTTGGCTTTATTGCTTTTAACTCTGCATCTTTAACATTTCTATTTTAATGTTTGTATGTGTTAGGTTTTAATTCACATATGGCTTTTCAATGTTTGAGTCTCAAAGAAAAAGCAGAGTATAAATACATATGATGATGATGATGACGATAATAATAATAAGGATGCTGTGGACCTCCAATGCAACTCTATAGTATGATTTGGTTGCAATAGGGTTCGCTATTTGTGCAACCATGAAAAGTCCTAGAATATATCCGCCACAGATATGGGGATCATACTCTAGTTAAGCCCAGTTTTTAAAAGTCTTTTTGACAGAGTGTTTTTTTAAAAAATGAGGAATTGGCTTCTTTCTGGTTGAATCTATTTTGGGGTTCGTTGTGGGTTTTTAGGGATCGGAAGCCATAATAACGCTCCTGTTCCATTTTGGGGCACAATCTCTGCTGTTCCCAATGGTCCCCTTCTGCTTTCTATTTTGGGCAAAGCAGCCTTGAAAGAGAGGCGTCTGACTTTGGAAAGGGCACCTTTCAAGGCATTGCTTTGGAGGGAATATTTCTGTCTCAAAGCTCCAGATCTTCAAGGGAGGAATTTCAAAAGCAAAGGTGGAGCTCTAGATCCAGATGTTTGGCTGCATTCATTGCAGGGAAGGAATGAGGAGGAGGAAATGGAGGCTTTCTCCCGTCTTCTGCCAGCTAGTAATTTGCTCCAAAATGCTCCTTCCTTTCAGACCCTGGGCTCATTTCACAGGGATTTTAAACCCTAATTGCATTGTCACATTTTGCATTGCAATTGCCACCCACTCACGCTTCCAACAACAACAAGGAAAATGAATACATTTACAACATAAATTTAAGGGTACCACTTTAACTGCCTTTGCAATTGTGGGAGTCATAGTTTTGCAAGGCCTGGAGCCACCTCTGTCAAAGAGGGCTGGGGCCTCACCAAACTACAACCCTTAAAGATTTCTTAGCACTGAACCACAGTCATTCAAGTGGTGCCAAACTACATCCATTCTACAGTGTAGATGCACCCTTTTTTTCTCAGGTTGACTCTGCTTTAACTTTCTTGGCTCAAATGGGAGTTGTAGTTTGGTGAGTCACTGGCACTATTTGGCAAGGAAGGCTTTAAAGGCCAGGATTATGTAGCATCGAGTCACAGCGGTTTTGTAATATTGTGCCATCAATCCATCTGGACCTGGAGTATTTCCTGTTTACATCTCTTGAGAAGTCTCCACATTATATCAGTTCATCAAGGCTCTTGGAAGGTCCTTTCGCTCTAAATATGTTTCTGAATCTTTTTTAAAATGAAGATTGTGGTGTTAAATCCACAGTGTAGATGCCTCCATTACTGTTTGGCCTAAATCCTGGCGCACACGGACAAATACACTTTGCTGAACACCTTGCATTTAGAATCATAGAATTCTAGAGCTGGAAGGGACCTCAAAGGCCATTCAGTGCAACCACATGTATGTGTATATGTGTATGTTTAAATGTGTGTGTGTATCTATAAAAAGGTAAAGGTTTCCCCTGACATTAATTCTAGTCGTGTCTGACTCTGGGGGTAGGTGCTCATCTCAATTTCTAAGATGAAGAGTATATCTCTATCTATCTATCTATCTATCTATCTATCTATCTATCTATCTATCTATCTATCAATCTATCTATATCTCATAGAATCCTAGAGATGTGAGGGACCCCAAGAGCCATCCATTCCAACTACGTGTATGTATGCCAATATGTAAATGTATGATATGAACCTATATATACATATAGAGATCTATATCTATATATAGATATACACACACATACACATATAATAGAATCCTATAGTTGCGAGGGACCTCAAGAGCCATACAGTCCAACCATCTGTATGTATGGAAATATGTATGCATGTGTATGATATGAATGTGTATGTGTATACACACACACACACACACACACACACACACACACACATCTATATGTATGGCTTGTTTTAATGAATAGTTTATGTTACACAGTTTGTTTTAACAACATTGTGAGCCGCCTTGGGTCCAACCGGAGAAAGGAGGGAAAAAAATGCCCTAAATAAATAAATAAACACACACACGCATATCATAGAATCTTAGAGCTGTGAGGGACCTCAAAAGCCATCCAGTCCAACATATTTAAAAATGTATATACATATATAGATCTCTCTCTCTCTCTCTCTCTCTCTATATATATATATATATATATATATACACACACACACACGCGCGCGCACACATATATCATGGAATCCTAGAGTTGGAAGAGAACCCCCAAAGGCAATCCAGTCCAAGCCCCTTCTGCTATGTAGGAAGGATCCGTCCAAGCCCTCCAAATAGATAGCTATACTCAGCCTATGTCTCATAGGACCCTAGAGTTGGCAGAGAGCCCAGGGGCCATTCAGTCTAAACCTAGTCTGCCACAAAAGGAAGGCACTATTGAAGCCCTCCCGAGAGATAGCCATCCAGATTTTCTTTCAGTACCTTCTTGCTGAACTCCCTGGCCTTCTGCCTCCGCTCCTGGTGGATTGCGTCCGCACTTTGGACAAAGGCCCGAATGTCACTGCTGGCCCTCCGCGTTTGGGTCCGCCCGAGGCGGAGGACACCTAACTGGAACCCCTTGTCTTGGCAATCATGGATCATGGCCTCCGCCTCCTCATAAACCCTCACCGGGACCCCATTGACCTCCAGGACGTAGTCTCCAGCTTTGAGTCCAGATTCAGAGGCCGGAGAGCCTGGGGCCACATGTTCTATTTGCAGAGGCGGCCCTCCATCACGGGCCAAAGTGAAGCCGAAGTAGCCCTCTTGACCCGGCCAGAGGTCCACTTGCTGGATGCGGGAGACCACCCCGATGCTGGGGGGCACGTTCTGGCATCGCCGGGCCAAGGCGATCAAGGCTTCACAGTTCAAGGCAGAGACCGGCTGGCCTTCCACCTCCAGGACTTGATCCCCCGGTCGCAGGCCAGCCATCTGGGCACTGCTCCCATCGTCAACCGTCAGGATGAAGCACGGCCCGTTGCCGCCAATCCGGAAGCCGAATTCTTCAGGCCAGCCTTTGTTGGTGGTGCACATGGTGGCGCCTAGGGAAGGATGCAGAAAGGGAAGCCCCTGAGAAACATGAATGTGCCATGGTCTCCAAAACCCAATGGTTGGGTAATGCTAGTCTCGACGCACTGAACCGACTTTTATAGAATCATAATTATAGAATTGGAGGGGACCCTCCAGTCCAACCCCTTTCTGCCAGGCAGGAAGGCACATTCAGAGCCTTCCGGAAAGGTGCCCCTCCAACCTCTGCTTAGAAACAGACATTGCGTGAATCCGAGGCAGTCTACCAAACATCTCTTATCATCAGGAAGTTGTAGACGTCCCAGATTCCCATTCCTAGGCTCCCTTTTCACAGAGATTTCAAAATATTTCCTGCTTGCTTGCTTGCTTGCTTTTACTTTCTTCCTTTTCTTCTTTCTTTCCTTCCTTCCTTCTGTTCTTCCTTGTTTGCGTGTCTTTCCGCTTTCCTAATCTCCTCCCTCCCAATTTGTTTATCTTTTTTCTCTTCCTTCCTTTCCTTCCTCCGTTTACTTGCCTTCCTTAGTTGTCTTCCTTCCTTGTCTTCCTCCCTTCTTTCGCTTCCTCCTTTCCTTCCCTTGACTTCCTTCCTTCCTTCTCTTCCTCCTTTCCCACCCTTGTTTCCCTTCCTTCTTTCTCTTCCTCCCTTTCCTCCCCCTCCCTCCCTTCTTTATCTTCTTCCTTTCCCTCTCTTCCTTCCTGCCTTCCTTCTGTCCCTTCCTCCTTTCCCACCCCTGTCTTCCTTCCTTCTCTCTCTTTTCCTTCCCTTCCTTTCTTCTTTCTCTGCCTCCTTTCCCTCCCTCCCTTCCTTTTCTTCCTCCCTTATTTTCCTTCCTTGCCTTCCCCTCTTCCTTCCCCTGTCTTCCTTCCTTCTTTCTCTTCCTTCCCAGGCAGGAATCTCCCTGGGATCTAAAGCTGTCAAGGGCTAAACTGGATTAGATGCAGGGGCTGAGCAATGGAGAAAGGCGCTAATGCCTTGAGGTCAGAGGGTGGCTGGAGAACCCTAGGGGGTTTCGGAAAGGGACAGTGAGGGGGCCAGAAGCTCAACTGTGTCCAGAGAAGAGCCACCAAAGTCTGGAAATCAAATCATGTTAAGGAACAATCTGAACATGAGTTCACAGTGTGGTGCAGACCCTAAAAAGGCCAATGCAAGCCTAGGTTGCATCAATAAGTGTAGAATCTTGATTAATAGAAGTCATACACCCATTCTCTTTGGTTTTGGTCACTTGGAATAATCCTGTGTGTCCAGTAATGGGCAAGGAAATTTCCTTCGTTTTAAATTGATGGAAGTTTGTGCCTTGGGTCCCCTCAGGAGGAGGAAAGCGGGATACAGAGATGATGATAATAATAATAATAATAATGGTTGCTTTGAGTTTTTCAGGCTGTATGGCATCTTCAAGCATGCAGTAGTAACCCAATGATTCCAGCCATGAAGGCCTTTGACAACACAATAATAATAATGACAATAATCCTATCCTATCCGATTTGTCGTCGATCTACTCCTTTGGGCTTCATGCAAATCTACATTTGCCAAAATATATAATACTGTGCTTTTTTCCCATTTCTTGTTGAAATACTTAACCATCAAACACAAGGTCTGCCCAATGCCAATAATATATGGATGACATTATTATTATTATTATTATTATTATTATTATTATTATTATTATTCAAGAAGATGGACAAGATGGAAAGTGAAGGCTTTTGTGTATAGTCAAAGGGTCCACCCCCCTGCAGAATTAATGCACTTTAACTACTTTAGCTGAATACTATGGAATTGGTCCATCTCCACTGTAAAATGGATGCAGTTGGACTCCACTTTAACTGCCTTGGCTCAATGCTATGGAATCTGAGAGTTTAACAAACACTTTCCCCTTCCCTGCAGAGAGTGTGGATGCCATGCCAAGCTGCAACTCCCAGTTTTCCCTAGCATTGAGCCATAATAAAAGTGGCACTAAACTGCATTCATCCTACAGTGTAGATGCACCTGCGGTATACAGGGTCTGTTCTCACTCAAATGCACACAGTTCTGGGAATGCAGTTGAATCAGCCTTACCTGACTTACTGTGCGCAGGGCCCGGCTGGTGTCTCCCGGCCACACAGCGAAAGCGCTGCAGCTGCCTCTTTGGCACAATGGAATCGGTTACAGGCTAGGTTTCTATGGCAAACTCTATCCAGGGATGGTAACTTAATAAGGCAGTCATGTGCAGGGCAGCCTTGGCTGGGAGAGAAGAACACATGGCACAAACACAGAAAACAATCTGCATTGCCGAACAGATGATTTTTGGCACGACTTGAACTGCCACGGCTCTATGCGATGGGTTCCCGGGAGTTGTAGTTTTGCAAGGTCTTCAGCCTTTGCAGCCCAAGAGTGGGACCATTTTAAAGAGGAAAGGTCTTATAGGATTTTATTTATTTATTTATTTGTCGTGTCAGGAGCAAGTTGCTTCTGGTGTGAGAGAATTGGCCGTCTGCAAGGACGTTGCCCAGGGGACGCCTGGATGATTTGATGTTTTTATCATCCTTGTGGGAGGCTTCTGGGAATGCCCTGAACACAGAACTGCCATCATTGCAAGGGAGCTGGGACGCTTCAACATCGACATAGCAGCCCTTCAGGAGACCCGGAGAGCAGGAGAGGGACAGCTGAAGGAAGAAAAAGGAGGCTACAACTTCTTCTGGAAGGGACTGCCTGAAGAAGACCAAAGAATGCACGGAGTTGGCTTTGCTATCAGAAATGATGTGATGAAACATCTGTCCGAAGCACCCACTGGCATCAACGAACGACTCTCAACCCTCCGAATTGATCTTGCCAAAAACCAACCATCATAAGTGCCTATGCACCAACACTAGATGCTGATGAAGACATCAAGGAGAAATTCTACTGTCAGCTGGACACCGTCCTATCGGGGATACGTAAGGAGGACAAAATCATCCTGCTGGAGGACTTCAATGCAAGAGTCGGGCGAGACTTCGACCTGTGGCCAGGGACCATAGGAAAAGACGGGGTTGGAAA